AAACGCGGCTAATGCGTCTTTCCCATTGCAGCCATTTCGACGCGACGAGCAAGCCGCTCGCCGCGCGTCTATCTGCCCAGACGAGGTCAACGTGGGCGCCGCGATCACCGCAGCCAGCGCGCGCTCCGAATGACAGCATGAATGCCCTGCACCACCAGCTAGCACAGGCAGCAGCATGCCGCCAGCTCAACCCGACCCGCCTGCGCCAGTGGTCATCGCGATCGACGCTCCGTCACCGGTTGCGAGGAGAAACGCCAGCATCGCGCTGACCGAACAATTGGCGGCCAAAGCGATCGGCCCGCAACGACGCTCCATTGGCACACCTGGCGGGGGCTCATCTATGCCGCCAGCCCGCAAGCATCCAGCCCCGCCTGCAAGAAGCTCAGACGCGCGGAGAATGAGAAGGGCGACTGTCGGCTCAATCGAGCCACGCGTCATCGTTCCTCGCGCACCTGACGCCAGCGCGCCATCCGACCCTGCCGCCGGCGACGACGCAGCCGACGCAGGTGATGATCCAGTGGGCTTGATCTGACGGCATCGACGCGGCGTTGGACACGGGCCAGCGCTCGCCGCGCATGGTTGGTCTGGAACACCAACAAACGCACGTGGCCCAGACTAGCTAGACCCGTCGCGACGGGACATTTTACTCCAACCGCCACGGGGGAGGATATGTTTGACGGGCGCCCTACGCAGACCCGACATTGTGGAAGGACCTGCGTTGGCACTGTTTCCACGGACCGCCAACACGTGCAGCTCCAACATTCAGGGCGGCGGTGGAGAGGGCGGCCCGGCGCATGCGCGACGGACGCCGCCGCCGCCGAATCCTCCGGCGGAGCCACAGAGCACTCTGCGCCAGCACACGCTACGAATGGCATGCGGCTTCGATCTGGCATTCGAGGAACGGAGGAGGGCGCGCGCGACAGACTCCCCACTCGGCGAACGCCCGACCCACCCCGACCAGATACGGCAGGTTCGTGTCGTGCCGACACCAGCCTTGGTTTTTGACACCGCAGGGATCGTTCAACCTTGAACGATCGGCCGCTGCCGCAACGTCCGATCGTTCCACATCGATCGACTCTGGATCGCCGGCGGCGTTCAACCCTGAACGCCCGCGCTGGGGTCGCCGCTGGTCGACGCGACGCGAACCTGCCGCATGGCAGCAGAAGGCCCCCGCACACTGCAGGGCCCACACGCCGCGGGCTGGCGCCCCGGGGCGCGCCGGGTCGGACATCGACGCCCGCGCCCGCCCGGCGCGACGGGCGGCTGATGCCCGACCCTGCCCCGCGCGAGAAGCAACGACAGCCGGAGACCGCAGAGAGAGAGAGCGAGAGAGAGAGAGAGAGAGCGAGAGGGATAGAGAGCGAGAGAGAGAGAGAGAGAGCGAGAGCGAGAGCGAGAGAGAGAGAGCGAGCGAGAGAGAGAGAAAGAGAGAGAGAGAGCGAGAGCGATCGAGAGCGAGAGACGCCAGGCGAGCGCGGCGGCGCGCGCGCCACCTCTACAGTGACCGAGCCGATCGCCGGCGTCCTCCGGCGCACCTCCGCGGCGAGCCCCGCGGCCAGCGTCCCCAGCCCGCGCGGGCCGGAGAGGCTCCGCCCAGAGACCGTCGCGGCAGTGGAACTTGTGTTTTTTTGTGTTTGCGTAGCTTGCTTGTGTTTTTTTTTGTGTGATTGTTTTTGTTTGCGTTTGCTGTGTGTGCTTTTCCCACAGTGTGTTTATTTTCCCCCACAGACGTGTGTGTTTTTTTCCCACGGAGCTCGCGCCTCCAAGGACGCGCGGAGCCATCGAGCGGGCCCGCCCGCGCAGCGGTGGCGCGCGCCAGGCCGACTCTGCCGAAGACCCACGGGCAGTCGCCATCGCCACAGAGGACGAGGACGGCTTCGCCTACGTCGGCGCGCCGTCGGCCAGAGCGCCCAATGCCACGTCGACCGACGTCGAGAAGCCGACGCCGACCACCTCGGAGCGGACTGCGCCCAGATGGGCACGCACACGGACATGCAACCGGACGTCCATCAACCACAACGCACCGACAGCAATGCGCGCGGATTCCAGGGGTGGCCATGGGCTTTTCTACAGGCAACAAAATGCCACGTAACCACGGCGCGGCCGCGCTGACCATGAAGGGGCCCTGAGACACACAAATAAATACACACAAAAAACAGGATTCCCCATATTTCCCCATATTTTCTGGGTGTTTGTCTTCCCCCCCACTTCCCATATTTTCCCAGATTTTCCTGGGAATCGACGATGAATTGTGTCTGTGTGTTTTTTCCCCTCCTGACAGATGCCACGCAACCACGGCGCGGCCGCGCGGACCAACAGCAGCTCCACCAGCGCCAGCTGGCTCCGACCGCGAGACCCGCCCGCCCACGGACCGCGCCCGCGCTCGCAGAAGGGCACCCACGGCACCGGCTCGCCGACTCTGAAGGGGCCCACAAACACACAAATCAATACACACAAATAAAAAGACTCCTCATATTTTCCCATGTTTTCTGGGTTTTTGTCTTCCCCCCACCCACCTCCCATATGTTCCCACATTGTCCTGGGGATCGACGATTGATTGTGTCTGTGTGTTGTTCCCCCTCCTGAGATTCAGTGGCCAAGAGACACGGCGAACGCCAAGAAGCGTGTCCGCAGCCAGAACGGATGGAAGTTCTTCGACGCCAAGCAGCAACGCGGCCGGGAATGGCTACTGCAAGAAGACGGTGCAGCTCGGGCGGCGCGCCCAAACCTGAACGACAAGGGCGCGACAGATGCGCCGCTGACGGCCGCGGCGACGCCGGAGCACTTCGAAGCAGACCAGGAGCAGACCAGCCAGGAGGCGACCGTCTGCCTCAACGCAATGGCCTTCAGCGCGAGCAGCTGCAAGGAGCCCATCCACGCCAGCGGGGAACAGGCGAGACGCATCGCGAGAATTGAGGTCACCAGCCACCAGCTGAAGCACATGGACATCCACCACGTCGGCAAACAAGAGGTTGGACTGCCCGGCGGCGCGGCCAGCATGCGCGAGTTCCACGCAGTATCAAGCGGACGCGAGAATTAGCATCTGGCCTGCTTCCACGGCCGCGCCCCACGCAGAAAGTAGAGGTGGCAAGAAGCGCCTCCGCTCCACCTTCTTCGAGGTACTGTATGAAGATCCACGATTACTTGTTGTCAGAATCAGGGCACCAGGCCTAGACAGCGGTGGCGGTAGCTCGCGCGACGCATGGGCATTCGGGATAGGAGAGGACAGACATGTTCTGGACAGGTTTGGCCAACATGACCAACAAGTTCAGCGTCGACGCAGCCGCGGTCGACGCCGACGCCGCCACGGGGGAGCGGGCGACTGGCTGAGTGGGAGACCGCGGCGAGAGACTTGAGAGGGGGACGAGACAGGCGCCCGCCTCCACGAGTACCCTGCGGTGCAAGGGAGCGCAGAGGGCCTGCCAGGCACCTGCAGAGAGGGAAGCACGTGTCGGGACGCGTCGACTGCATCGTCACCCCAGCAAGCAACCGCGACGCCGTGACGGACGTGGGAACCATCGGGGACACAGATATGGCTCAGGAAGACGTGGGCCACCCGTCCGTAGCCGTGCGACAGACCGACGTGGCAGTCTCCCGCGCTAGGCATGCGGCGCCACGACTTGAGCGTGCCAAGCTGGCAGACGCAAGCTACCAGACGCTGTTTCAGAGAGAACTCGGGGACACCCCACTCCAACCATAGGATACCGACATGAGAAACCACCTCCTCCGCGTCCTCCTCCTTCTCCTCCTCCTCCTCCTCTTCCTCCTCCTCTCCTCCCCTCCTCCTTCTCCTCCTCCTCCTCCTCCTCCTCCTTATCCTCCTCCTCTTCCGTCTCCTCCTCATCCGCATCACCATCATCATCGTCATCATCATCATCATCATCATCATCATCATCATCATCATCATCATCATCCTCATCATCAGCATCATCATCATCAGCAGCATCATCATCAGCAGCAGCATTATCATCACCATCACCATCACCATCATGCTCATAATCACAACCACCATCATCACCACCACCATCATCATCGTCATCATCAGCATCATCATCATCATCATCATCGTCATCATCATATTCATCATCATCATCATCAGCATCATCATCATCAGCATCATCGTCATCATCATCATCAGCATCACCAGCATCATCATCATCAGCATCATCATCGCCCTCATCAGCATCATCACCCGCATCAGCATCCGCATCAGCATCAGCATCATCAGCATCAGCATCCGCATCAGCATCAGCATCAGCATCAGCATCAGCATCATCATCATCATCATCATCAGCATCATCATCATCATCATCAGCATCATCATCAGCATCATCATCATCATCACCATCACCATCATCATCACCACCATCATCATCATCATCATCATCATCATCATCATCATCATCATCATCACCATGATCATGATCATCATCATCATCATCATCATCATCATCATCGCCCGATTCCTCCTCCTCCATCATCTCCTCCTCCTCCTCCTCGTTTTGTTCTTCCTCATCCTCCCTCCCTCCCCCCGGCAGGCAGCGAGACGTCAACGGGAAAATCTGGAGGTGGGGCAATGCCCCCGACCGTGAAAGACCGCGGCTGCCGTCGCCGCAGCTATCGTCGTCGTCGTCGCCGCCGCCGCCGCCGCAGCCGCCGCCGCCACCTTTGCCGAGGCCGCCGCAGTCGCGGGCGCCGCCGCCACCGCCGCCACCGCCGCCGCCGCCGCTATCAACGTCAACGTCGTCGTCGTCGTCGTCGTCGTCGTCGTCGTCGTCGTCGTCGTCGTCGTCGTCGTCGTCGTCTCCGCCACCGCCGCCACCGCCGCCGTCGCCGCCGCCGCCTCCGCCACCATCGCCGCCGTCGCCGTCGCCGCCGTCGACGCCGCCGCACTCGCCGCCGCCGCCGCCGTCGCTGCCGCCGCCAACGCCGCCACCGTTGCCGCCGTCGACGCCGCCGCCGCAGCCGTCGTCGTCGTCGTCGTCGTCGTCGTCGCGCGCCTGTTCTCGGCCGTCGGCGCCTCGCGGTCCTTTGGGGGCTCCTGCGGGGGGAGGGAAGGGAAGGGAGGGACAAGACAGGGGGCGGGGCAGGCGTCTATGTGGGACGAAGTGAGGAGGAGGAGGAGGAGGAAAAGGAGGAGGAGGAGGTGGAGGAGGAAGAGGAAGAAGAAGAGGAGGAGAAGGAGGAGGCGGAGGAGGAGGAGGAGGAGGGGGAGGAGGAGGAGGAAGAGGAGGCGGAGGAGATTTGTTTTCATCGCTGGAAATACCCAATTGAAAGACAAAGGTCTGATAATCTTCAATCGTGCCAATGCATGCTAGCCCGCGTGGACCCTATACCGTGTGACTCTAGCAATCTACCGTGTGCAATGTATGTTGGGCAAACTATGTGGTGCAAACTATGTGGCGCAATCCGTGCGATACAATTTGTTGCGCAATCCATGTGGGCAAAATGCGTGGTGCAATTCACCCTGCCGAACTTGCGATTGCCAACTCCACTGTTTGCGCAATCGTTTCACCCACCCACCCGCAGTTTGGTTTGCAAAACTAACGCGGCGGCGCTTGCAGCGACTGCTTGGCGCTGGCTGGCACATCGCTGCGGCCGCGCTAACGCGCGCACGCTCGCGTCCAGAGCGGCCAACTGGTCTGGCGCGACCGACGCGGGCGCGGTGGCGCTGACCGGTGGGCACTCTCCAGCGCGTCTGGCGGGCCGCCCCGGCGCGCGGGCACTTGAATGCGAGCCGGCGGCCCGGCCGGGCGCGGCATCATGGCGACGTCGACAACGGCAGGCACGATGATGAGAATAGCGATGCTGGCAACGATGCTGGCAATGACGACGGCAAGACCAATGAGGGCGCCGATGCTGCTCACGCCGACACTCCGATGTCGATGATGGGTGGTGTGGACGCATTTGTGATGAAGCTTGTGGACGGATTTGGGCATACGAGCGCGGCCGACGCGCGCGCCCCCGAGCACGCGTGCAAGGGCGTTCGATGATTTCGACACGCGCGCGCGAAAAGCCCGCGTGGTCGCAGTTGGTTGAACAGTTGGGAGATACGGTTCTCGCTAGATGTCGCAAGAGCGCGGGCGCTGACAGATTTGAGCGATCATGTTGCAAACCCTATGGTTGTTTGAATGTCTTCGGGGCAGCCGTTTGTGATATCCCTACGACACCTACAGTGTTTGAGCGAGTCCTGGATGCACGCGCGACAACGCGCACGTGTGGACTTCGCGATCCTCGTTGCAAAAAAAACATTGCTCATAGATGAATTATGATCATGGGACGAGGATCGGGACAATACCACCGATACCAGCATCGTTGGGATGACACGATATCATACTTAGGATGAACGACGGGGCAGAATCATATCCAAACTGCACAACCCAAAACGGCACGGATAACGCCACGTAGGGGGGTAGATCCTCATTCCTTGTTGTACAAGAGAATAGATGTTGTGCGTTGTATGCTGTGCCATCTATGATGTGCACTATTCGTGGTACAACGTATGTGGTACATTCTGTGTGGTGCAAACTATGCGGTGCCGTTCACCCTGGCGAACTGGAAGTTGTTAGCTTCATTGCGCGCGCAATCATCCCACCCACCAATCCGCAACTTGGTTTGAAAACCCATGCGGTGGCGATTGTGATGAGTGTTTGGTGTTGACTGGTGCATCTCTGCGGCCGCGCTAGCCCGCGCATGCTCGCGCGCGCAGTGGCCAGCTAGTTCGGCGCGGCCGACGCGGTCGCGGTGGCGTTGACTGCTGGGCACTTCCCAGCGGGCACTTCAATGCGAGTCGGCGACTTGGGCGAGCGCGGCATCATGGCAACGTCGACAACGGTAGACGCGGTGATGATGGTAGCGGTGCTGGTGGCGATGGTGACAATGACAACGGCAAGGCCAGTGACGGCGCCGATGCGGATCACGCCGACGACGTTGACGGCGCCCTCGCGTCGGTGATGAAGGTTTCGGAAGGAGTTCGACATGCGCGCGCGGCCGACGCGCGAATGGCGCGTATGGTGTTCCTTGACACGGATCGTGCCACCGCCACCCTACCACGCACGCAAGGGCGTTCGAATGATTTCGACATGCGACGCGAAGGGCCCGCTTGGCCGAATTGAACGCACACGTTGAAAGGCGACGGTTTTCTCAAGAATTCGCAAGAGCCCGAGCGAGGCCTCCTCCTCCTCCTCCTGCTCCTCCTCCTCCTCCTCATCCTCATCCTGCCTCTCCTCCTTCCCCTCCTCCTCCTCCTCCAGCTCCTCCTCCTGCTCCTTCTCCTGCTACTGCTCCTGCTCCTGCTCCTCCTCCTCCTCCTCCTCCTCCTCCTCTCCTCCTTGCTAGCTTCCTGATTTTCCTCTGTGACCCTCATGTCACGGGGAGTCGTGAAACATTGGTGTTGTGTCCCCGCATGGTTTCGCAAAGCGTGCTGACTGCTGGACTGCCCACGCAGAACCGTGGGGTCTGGCCTGTGGCGAGGAAGGCGCGACACCGGCCGCGCCACTGCCCCCCCTGGCTTCTTCTGGTCTTGGGCCGGGCACCCTGAGGCTTGCCTCTGGTGCCTCGTCTTCGGGCCCCGCAAGCTGCTCGCGGTTGGTCAGGCCTCCTGGCTCCGTTCTGACCTGGCCTCGTGGTGTTTCCCCAAGCTTCCCGCCGCGCAGGTCAGTCCCGAATGCGACGCAGCTCTTCCCTGGGATATCCCTGCGATGGTCAACGTGTGGCTCTGGCCTATGCGCCGCGCGCACTCATTTAACAACACGGCAAGAGTTTCACTGAGTAGGGGCGGGTCGTTTTCAAAATGTGGCTCTCGCCTCGGCGCCGCGCACATGTTTGCTTAGAACCTACTAGAGCTTCACGGATTGAGGGCGGTACCTTTTCAACATGTGGCTCTCGCCTTAGCGCCGCGAACACTCATTGGAAAAAAATCGTCACTGGTTCTCAGGGTTAACGTACCAGAGACGGCGCTTCGGAACCATTCAGGATTGTCAGTGCGTAACAGTTACTTTGATTCGCGGTGACGTCCCAGGAACGGTGTTTGGCACGATTCAGAATCGCCAGAACGCAACAGTCAGATTAATTCGTGGCATTGGAGTCCTGAGAATGGTGGTTTGGCACGCTTCAGGATTGTTGCACGGTTGTCCCCCCACAGGGCATTTGCATTTGTGAAAATGAAGCCCTGTAGGGGCCTATGAAGAGGAAGCTTGGAGGGAGAATGGATTCCGACATCGTTGATGAGTCTTGGGTTTACACTGGCTCTCAATCCTCATCCTCACCCCTTCTCCTCCTCCTCTTCCTCCTCCTCATCATCAGCAGCATCACCAGCGTCATCAGCATCATCACCAGCATCGTCAGCATCAACAGCGTCTTCCGCATCCTCCTCGTCGTCGTCATCCTCGTCCTTATCCCCTACCCGCCGCGCGTCGCCCTGTCATGACGCCGCCTTCGCGATGGTGCCGCACGTGATTCGAACTGCCTGCCAGCTGGCCGCGGCTCCCTTGCGGAAGTGGCCGCGATCAGATCGAAGAGATGTGCCGAGGATCCCCTCGGTGGCCCGTCTCGGGCCTGGGCAAGCTTTGAGTCGGGCGTGTCCCCCTACAGGGGGATTTTCGATGAAAAATAAAAGATACCCCAAAAATAATCAGAAAATAGCCCAACAATAATCTGGGGACTATTGGTTTGGTATGTCTGGACCATTTTGGCATATGTTTGGGGTATGTTTTAGTTGTCGTCGAAGATCCCCCTGTAGGGGGACAGGCCCGACTGAAGGCAAGCTGGGCCGCGCCGAGAGTCCAGGCGGGAGCTCCTCTCTGGCCGGTGGCGCCGGCTGGCGTGGTGGAAGGCCTGGCAGGTCCGAGCTCCCCCCGCCCCGCGGAGACCTTGCGGGAGAGCCGGGGGGCGGCCAAGAGGGTGGTGTTTCCCAGAGGGGGGGTGCAAAGCATGGCCGGCGGCACGTGCGCGGCCCAAGGGGGGGGGGCCAGGGGCGTAAGGAAAGAAGAAGAGGCGCCATGAGATCTGAGGCAAAAACCATGGCCCACGCCATGAAATCCCCCCCCCCGTAGTCATCACCCCCCTCCTTGCCGCCCCCGGGAGAGGTGGGCGGGCAGGACTCTCGGGACACCCGGAAGAGGAGGAGGACGAGGAGGATGAGGAGGAGGAGGAAGAGGAGGAGGAGGAGGAGGAAGAGGAGGAGGAGGAGGAGGAGGAGGAGGAGGAGGAGGAGGAGGCAGGACTCTCTGGACGCCCGGGCCGCGCTGCCACCAGCCGGGCCCGCGAGGCGCCCGCGGGGCGCCCTGCGAAGGAGCCCACGGGAGAGCACCCAGGCTGGGCCTCGGCGGGCCCGCCCCGGCGCACGAGTCGGGCCACGACGGGAGCGCCCGCGGGCGCCCGCTGCAGGAAGACAAGACATCTTAGACCGCCTACGCCCTAAAGGGCTGGTGGGATCTACCCTCGTCCCTTCCTGCTCCGTCTGCCCCAGCCTTGCCGTCTTCTTCTCTCGCGCCAGAGCCTCGCGACGCCGTCGCTACACCGAGCTGGTGGCTCGTGTTGTCAACCCCGGCAATGTCAGCACCGAGCGCAGTGACACGAGGGGCCTCGGCCGGCCCATCCGATTCCTCGAGCAGTACCACGGAGGGGCCGGTGCCGGGAGCAGAGAGCAGCATGACAAGATCACTAGTGTTAGGTCGGGCACGTCCCCCTGCAGGACAAGATTACTAGCGTTAGGTCGGGCATGCCCCCCTGCAGGCGGATTTTGGGCGAAGAACTAAACATACCCCAAGCGTAGTCCAGAGATGCTCTAACATGTTCAAAGCATCGTCCCAATATTCTGTTTTGACTATTTTTGAAAATTCCTCCTGGAGAGGGACAGGCCCGACTTAACACTAGTGTGAATCCAGCTGTCCAAGCTGCGGTGAGCAACCCGTGTGCCCATGGAACGGAACAGCAGGAGGATCGGGCGAAGATAGCGGACAAGAGGAGGACATAAAAACGAATTGCAGTGGCATGAAGGAAGCGGATCCTGAGGGAAAAAGGTCCTGGCCCCCGGGGCCTTCCCCAGGACTACCCTGTCGTCCCGAGTCTTCTCTTCGTATCTCAGGGCCCGTGGGAGTGCAATAGGAAGCCCACACAAAACGGAGAAAAACGCAGGACCCGTTTCCCTCAGGCCCCGTTTGCTTCTCGTGGCAAGAGATGGAGGAGGAGGGGAGAAACCTGGTGAGCATGTTTGTTTGGAGCAGGTTTTAACTCGATATCACTGCGGGAGGCTTGTTTTCACGAGGTTTAGCGAAACTCGACCTTTGCTGCGAAATTTGTTTTTGTTCGCCATCTGGGTATCACCACTCGGGTTCTCCCGGGTCCTCTGCCGAAACAAACAAACTTTCAGAAGAAAAAGTTTGGTTCGTTGAGGTTTTGAGAAAGCGAAACTCTCCTGGCTGTCGGCGTAGTCGCTCTCTACCCGGTGCCGAAACAAACAAACAGACCTGGGACTTTCCCGAAACCCTGGAAAAACTAACACAGGCGTGGGGTTCGGAGTTTCCCGAAAACCCTGGCAAAAGCTTACGCGGGTCCGCCGGCTTCTCCTGGTCGGGGTTTGGAGTTTCCCGACCCCTGGAAAAACTGCACCGGGCCCAAGGTTCGCAATTTTCTCGAAACTCTGACAAACCAAACCCGACCCGTGTTTGTTTTTGCGAGATGGTACTAACTTGCACGCGTGGCTTATGAAGGAGGGGAGAAGGAGAAGGGGGAGGAAGAGGGATAGGAGGAGGAGGCGGAGGGGGAGAATTTTCGCGTGGCGCGTGCGAGAGAGAGAGGGGTGGACAATGAGGAGGAGGAGGAGGAGGAAAGAGGAGAACTCCTCGGTTTCGGCCGTGTTCTGGCCCCAGCGGTCCCTACCACTTCCTGGGGATTAGTGTCTCGTCCTGGATGGATTCTTCGGCCGAGATTGATGAGAAAGAAACGCCAGTTGGACAAATCAGATCGTCGGATGTCCAGGTTTGCTTCATGGCGAGTCCTCTGGCCCCCCCTACACGCGGAGCCACCTCGATGTTTTCTCTGCCCAGCCATCGACTATGCAACTGGAGCCAGCACGCGCGAGGTCGCTTCATCTGCTTCATGACATGTACGATTGAAGCCGTGTGAAACCGAAGAGGCGCAGAAAAGGACAGACGGCTGAGGAAGAAGAGGAAAGAAGAGGGAGCCAAGGAGAGAGTGCACCGGGAAAACGAGCACCCAACTCAGGATGAGGCTCCCCAAAGGGCCCGAGCGGCAATTCTTAAAACTACGCCTCACGCACTGGTGCAGCCACCCACTGCACCTCTAATGTAAAGCCATGCAGCGCCGCGAATGGAGAGGACGAATGCCCCCAAACCATAACAGGCCCGAGCGGGGGAACGGAGGGAAGACAGGGAGGGGGAGGCCGTCGCAGAGCACTGCAGCACACAGGAGGAGGAGGAGGAGGAGGAGGAGGAGGAGGAGGAGGAGGAGGAGGAGGAAGAGGAGGAGGAGGAGGAGGAGTGGAGGAGGAGGAGGAGGAGGAGGAGGAGGAGGAAAAGGAGGAGGAGGAGGAAGAGGAGGAGGAGGAGGAGGAGGTGGAGGAGGAGGAGGAAAAGGAGGGGGAGGAGGAGCAGGAAGAGGAGGAGGAGGAGAGCGACACAGGCGTGACGGACGACTGACGTTGAAGGGCGGCGGAGGGCCCAAGCCGGACAGCGCGGCCGACCGGACGGTCGGGCGGGCGCATGAGCAGCCACCGCCAGCCGTGCATGCCCGGAGCGCCGCCCAGCAAGTGCGGGCTGGATTAGGGGGCCACATGCGAACCCCCACCCCCGCGATTTCTAGGGGGGGGTCCGTTCAGCTGGGGAGCGCCCGAGCGAAGTGAACCCCACGCTCCCCCTCAGAAGTCGTGGGGGGCAGGGATAGGGTTCGCATGTGGCCCCCTTATGGATCGCAAAAACCGAAACTAGAAGCACGTATCTCGACAAAAACAGCGCCTGCAGGGAGGAGGGCTGCCAGGGCGCCCCGCCGCGGGGGAGGGCGAACCACACGCAGCATCGGCAGAACTCATGGCAGGGGAGCCCGGACTGGAGGCCTCCTCGAGGGGTCCGAGTAGATGGGGTCGGAGGATCCCGCCGCACCGGTGCCGCCGGCGTGAAGAAAGCCAGGCTCCACATCGAGCCGCATCGGCGATGCATCGGCAAAACATCGGCGATGCGGCGCGATCCTCCGACCCCATCTGCTCGGACCCCAGGCTGGGAGGCCTGGATCGATCCCCGCTTCAGTCAGCATCCCCCCGAGACGGATCGATCCGCAAGGGGCCCCGCGGCCCGCCGCAGGGCGGAACTGCCTGGGAGTGCCGCCCCACAGCGAGGGCCGCCCTCGAGGGCGGAGGGGGCGCCCCGCCGCGGAGGCGCTCCTGCCCGCCACAGGGCGCCACCGGCCGCTCCCAGACCGCGGGCACACCACCTCCCTGAGAAGCACCCCGCACGAAGCGCACTCGAGGAAGGGATCAAACGGGGCAGGGGGCTGCTCATGGACCAGAACACAACAAAGGACACTGCGCCACCCACGGCCCCACGGGGCTCCGCGTACACCAGCAAATCGGGCGTGGGCTTCTGCGTGGTGTACGCTGCGGCCCCGCAGGGGCAGTTGCACAACATGGATGGCTGCAGGTCAGTGTAGTCTGCTGCTTGGTCGAGCTTTGTGAACGCGCAGGGCCGTTTCCAGTAAACGCGGACCATGGATGTCGGGTTTGTTTCTCCTCCCTGGAGCTCCTGCCTGCGCACCACCAGCCCGCCACGGGACGCGGATGCCCGCGCGCGGCGACCCCGACGCCTGCTCCCGAGCAGGGCCGCCAGGGGCACCGCGACCTCGGGCGCGTCGCGCTGGGCCCGCGCGCGCGGCCGCGGCGGCGGCGGCGGCGGCGGCGACGGCGGCGGTTCCTCCTCCTCCTCCTCCTCCTCCTCCATCTCCTCCTCCTCCTCCTCCTCCTCCTCCTCCTCCTCCTCCTCCTCCTCCTCCTCCTCCTCCTCCTCCTCCTCCTCCTCCTCCTCCTCCGTGTGTTCCAAGGCCCTCGGGCCCGAGGAAGGACCCGAAGCGAGCGGACCGCGCGCGGCCGAACGCGGCTCCCGCGCGCCCCGCGCCGCTGAGCCTTCTTCTGCGCCCGCCATCGTGGAGGGCTGAGGGAGTGTGGGGTTCACTGGGTTCCCTCTGCTGGGCACCACTTCGGGCACTTGGTTGTGGTAGCCCTTGTGTGACTGTGTCTACGTAATCCTCCTCATTATCCTCCTCCTCCTCCTCCTCCTCCTCACTCCTCCTCCCTCCTCCTCCTCCTCCTCCTCCTCCTCCTTCCCTCCTCCTCCAACTCCTCTCCTCCTCCTCCTCCTCCTCCTCCTCCTCCTCTCTTCGCGTTGGCGCTGGCGCCCCTGCTCAGGCTCCTCGGCCTCCTCCTTTCTCGCGGCTCTCTGTCGTCGTCCTCCTCCTCGTCGGCGCCCCTCCTCAGGCCCTTCCTCCTCCTCCTCCTCCTCCTCCTCCTCCTCGTCCTCCTCCTCCTCCTTCCTCCGTCTCCTCCTCCTCCTCCTCCTCCTCCTCCTCCTCCTCCTCCTCCTCTTTTTTTGGCAGCGACGCACATTCCCCTGAACAGTATACCGCAACAACAGCCAGAGGAGCACTGATGCAACAGAAAAGGTTTCACCTGTAATTACAGCAGGGGGATGAATTCATCAATCTCAACAGAAACACCCTTCTTGTCAGGGTGAAGGCCCTTGCGGAGCTTGCGAATATTCTTCAAGCCAGACTCCGTCGTGTGCCCACATTTGCGACCCAGGCCTATCACTTGACCTCCACTGCTGTAGAACTTGCACGACATGCACAAAAACAGGTGACTCTTGTCACTGCAGGGAAACGCAATCACACGGTGACCCTTGGACTCCAGGACCCCATTGGTCCAACGGGCAGGTCCCAGGGCAACCTCCACCAATCGGTTTGGACACGGCGCGGGATCCACGGAGGCAGACTCTACAACGCCACGTGTTTCCCTGCTTGGCCCAGTCGTGGCAAACTTCAAGCAAGGGAGCGTCCGAGGGCTGGGGCCTAGGAGCACGCTCAAGGCCTCGGAACTCCAGCTTGGGCCACAGCGGCAGGAGCTCCGCTCCAGCCAACAGGACGAGACGCGCAATCTTAAGCGCGTCTCTGCAGGTCTTCCTCTTCAGAGGGGGACCAGCTAGGGTGAAGCAACACAGCTTCCTTGGCCGCGACGTCGGCGTAGTGGTTCCCAACACGCAAGAACCTCTCTCGCGCACTGAGCCCCTCTTCATCGAGGTCACGGTGAGCTGCAACCTTCACAAAAGAAGAAACATTAGAACTAACGTGCTGGCGCGCTTGAATGACAAGGCCAGCGTACTGACGCTTCCCAGAGATGGCGTCCGCCTCTCCAAGGTTCATTGAACTCGCCACATTGCTGCAGTCTGAATAGCAGTCAGAAGGGGCCTTCCGAGTAAAGCCCCGCCCAGGCCAAGGCCCCAAATTCAGAGCCTCGGGGGGTCTGAGGCCAAGGGGCCCAATGGGGACCTTTGAAGACCCCAAGGCGCTCCCCAGCCTGAGAGACCATGACCACGGCCCAACCAGCCCTAGACAGCTCTCGAACAGTGTGGCAGCGGCAAGAGCCGTCCATGAACAGATGCCCCCAGATCCCATCGGTAGGAAAAATGGAGGGAGGAGCAGCAGCATCTGACGGGTCAGGCAGCAGATCCGTATACCAATCGTAGACGACTCCAGTACTCGTAGCAGGAGGAGGAGCGAGATCTCTTGGATGCCTCAGAGCCCCATGTAAGAATTCGCCGGCCCAACGGGCCAGAGGCGTGCTAAGATCTCCGGTAACTTGTTAACAATATTTCTAGTTCGCGCGCGCGGAGCGGCCCCTGGGGGCCCCCGGACGAAAAGTGCCCCGGCAAGGTCCCGAGAGAAGCCCGGGAGAAGCCACCAGACCACTCCAGGGGAGGGTATTTTTCGACACCCCTCACGAGGATCGCGGCCTCCGAGGGGGGAGCCGCAATCGACTACCCCCAAGAGCCCCCCAAGAGGCCCTGGGGGCCTCCAAAACGCCGCCAAGGAGCCCCAAGACTCCCAAGAGGTCCCCAAGAGGCCCCCAAGAGGCCCTAAAGAGGGCTCCAGGGCCGGCGGCATGAGCGAAGCGATTAATAACACTCCATCCTCAGAGTCAGGGCCAGCTTGGCGGGCTCCCTCTTGAAACCACATGGGGAGAACTGCATCACGCTCCTGCTGTACAGCAGGACAAACGTAAAGACGGGGAAAACGAGTGTCTCTGGCTTCGCCACAAAGCTGACACCGATCAGGAAATACATAGCCTGCAGAAGCCATGTCACATGCAGTCCAACACGCCTTAGTGGCTAAGGCTCTGACCCAACCCTTAATCGTGGCCCCATTTTTTTTGGACCCCAGGATATTCTTGGCAACATCCCAACACAGCCGCGCCCCCACCCCGTAGGTGTCTCCAGAGACCCGCTCCACGGAGCGAAAAACAGCTTCCTTACAAAGAACCTTGACAAGCTGAGGGCTGGAGAGAGTGAGAGAGACTTCACGACCAAAGTCGTCGACGATGGTGCAGAAATCAGGCATGGTCCACCCCGGTCTGTATAAGGTCATCCGCAGGGCCGACATCGGGCCTCGGACCTTGGCCCAAGACCAGTTGACCGAAGAGAACACCACGTTCCACCCCTCACGCATTTCGGACCACGAGAGCGACCAAGGGAAGGCATTGGTTCTCAAAATCCAGATTTCTTTGGCCCAACGAATGACCGGGGCACAACTGCCCCTCCAGGTCGGATCCCCTTCGAGCAAGGAAAGCACGTGCAAGGACCTGCCCTGAGCTCTTGGCTTGATGCAGGATATGGCCATCCTTCGCAAGCTAAGAAGCTCCGAATCCGAGACCCCATAGAAGCCCGAGCCATATACGGCTCCAGCCAGGGGACCCGCGGCAGAAACCCGAAGGGCCTTTCGGCCCAGGGCCGAAAGGAAGGCCTTGCAGGCGCCGAGTTTTCCGCAAAGCAGCAGCAGCACGAGCCTTCATTTTAGCAGACCAGCCTTTCCCTGCTCGCACAGGCCTACTTGCAGTGAAATCCGAGCCGGGGTTGGTGACCCTCGTGCAAGCTGCGCCAAACAAGCTGCCAAGGGACTCCTCCAACTTATGAGCAACAAAGCTGCTGCTGCTAACCATGCCTATCTTGTCCATGGCAAGATTGCACTGCAGGGTGCGGGTGACAGCCGCATGTAGAGCACGCGCTCCACGACAAAAAACTCCGATGACCTCCTTTGCTGAACCCGTGGCATTCAGACTGAGGTCGTCTATGTACGCATCGAAGTAGCACCGTCCTGGTTCTCGCGGGATACCGTCGAAGGCCCCCATAGCAAACACTCGGATCAAGCTAGTGGCAAAGGAGCACCCCGCCACAATGTCCTTCCTAGGGAAGAAAGGGCCTTCAACAATACCCCCGAGAGCCATGCAACGAGCCGCGGAGTAAGCCTGAGTGGCCAGCCTGGCAAGGCACGCGGGGAACCTATGTCGAAGGCATTTCTGCCATAAGAACTCAAGATCAATGTGCGCGTAGTACTCCTTAAGTCCCAACAAACCGAGGCCGTGCACTGGCCCAGCATGGCCCCACTTTCAGCCCTACGGGCCTGTCTCCAGACGACGTCACCAGCTCCGCGGAAGGCTCCAGCCGCCCAGTAGTCCCTCTTGTAGGACAGCTCCCACCTAGGAGCTTCGCCTCTTCTGCAACGACCCCAAACCCGATGCCAGCTCGGAAACAAAAAAAAAAAAAAACGATCGGTCGGAAGCCTCCAGAGGGTTTGTTCAGGAGGGCCGGAGGGGCCCAAGCGACCTGGGGGGGAGAGCCCCAGTGCCTTCCATAACCGCAAACCACAAAGCCACCGCATGGAGCGCAACATCGGGGAGCAAGGCAAAGTGTCGGCAGTGGAACCCGTCCACACTAACAGCCGAGGCAGGCCTGTACTTCTTAGACACAGCACGAAGCTCAGAAGGCTCAAGGAGAGGCGAGTGCGGCAAGATGCCGTTGCCTTCACCTTTGCAGAAGTCCGCAAGACCACTGCCTTGCTGCCAGATGTCACTAAACTTGTCCGCCTTAGCCTTGAGGAGACTCACAAAACCCGCAACAATAATTCCGCACCGAGAGAGGGTGGTGGTCGGAACCCAAGCGATTGGCTCTCTGATGGCCTTCTGAGCGTTTCCCCCCTTGTTCGAGCCCCTGGCGCAGCCAGTCGTGCCAGTCCTTCCTCGAGGCCTTAGCATACGCCGCCTTAGCCGACTGAGCAGCATCCGCCGTGTCCGAGATTAAACAAACGAGATCGGCGTGGACCGCGGGATCGCCGCTGTCAGCGCGAATGGCGCGGGCTCTAAGCTGGCGGCAGACGCGAAATACATGCTCCACTCGGAGTCTGCGGCAACCGTCACCGAGGCAGGAGGATGCTCAAGTGCCTCAACAACCTGGTAACCTCCAGCCTGCAAAGAGTCTCCAAGATAGCACCTAACAGCTCGAAGCTGACTGAGAAGCCACGCTATGCTACGCACGTGCAGGTCCTTTACTCTGCCCGCAGGCTTCAGAACAGACTTCCAATAAAGTTGGGGCATTTTCCCCCTAGCCCCAACGGCGGGGACTTCGACACCCAGAGCGCCCGCCAAGTCGCGTTCAGCCGAGTCCGCCCACGCCTTGTAGCCAGGACTACGAAGCCTGCGAGCCCTCCGAGCGCCCCCAACGTTCATGGCGTCAAAGGCTTCTCGGGCGAGCATCAGAGCACCCAATCCCCAGGGCACGGGGCAGGTCCTGCAGGGGCC